GCTAATGCTAAACTATGACAACAAACGAGGGGTAACCACGGAAACAAACATTGTAACAAATGCAACGAGGGAAACGGGATCTAAACACAGGAAGGAAACATAGAAACACAAGGGTACAGAAAACTCTAAAAGTCCTATAAACAAGATAGCGGAACACAAGACTGGGATCGTGACAATATTAAAGGCAATGAAATCGAATATAGTGAAAGTAAACATGCAGAATGTTCTGCGGTAACACATTTATTTCCTGTAGATATAATATACTCCAGCATGTTTTTTCAGAAGAAATGCAAGCTGATATATGCTCTCCGTGCCGATGTATCCAAATAATCCAAATCAAATTCATTGGTTATTATTTCAAGGATCGATTTTGATTATTTGTTCAGACGTAGTTGAGTTGAAATGAACTTGTGAATGAGTTTTAATTAAAAAATGCAATAAAGCAGTAAAAGCGCAAAGGAAATCCGGCCCCAAACGCTACAGAACTCGTTCACACTTATTCATCAGCAAGACGCTTTGCTTTTGACGGAGGGAACTTGTAATTAGCATGCAATAATGGATGAATTCTAATTGAAATATATCCTCGGCTCTCGTCGCGTGATTAAAAGGAAAGCTTTTCAGCCGGAAATTTGAACTTGTTCGGTCAGGTGGAGGGCAAGATGTGTTTGTAAAGGAGCGCCTTGTCACATGCAGAAGGCTGCTGAATGTTTCAGTCAAAGGAGGACAAAAGCAGAAGAGAAGGATTCAAAGAGGGAATTTTGAAAAGCCTGGTCAAAATGGGTATTTCAATAACGCTTACAGAAGCTGAAGAGTGAGGCGGTAACAATGGCAGAATGACAGGGATGTAGAGAGCCACAAAAGCGAGTGAAAAGGCTCACAGAAATCTGATGAATAAACTGAGCCGAGCACACGAGCTGCTGCTGAGCGACGTCTTTCAGACGCTGTGAATTCAGTGCTACACCGCCCCGTTTGCTTCGATTTCATCTCCAACACTTTAGGGAGAAATACTGTACAGTATGTGTTTGCGTCACAATGCCAAACAAGTCCTTGACAAGCTTCGTGAGACTCGCCATGCAGCTCAGATTTGAAAGTGGCGCTCATTGTGCATCTTGCATCTTCAGATTAAACCAGTGAAATCACAAAATACAATGGAACCCGACGCAACTACATTTATTCAGTAATTACATTTATTCTTGCACTGTAAAAAAAATAAGGTGCAGTAAGACTTCTGAGTCGTCTCAACAATAGTTTTTTAGTTCTTTTCAGGAAAGATACTTTGTTTAGCCAATATACATTTATTTGTTCATGCAATGCTGATTGAAAAATGTTTGTCACAGCAACTGAAGCAACAATTACTGTTGTTGAGGTAATTCATGTTTTTCTGTTTCCTAAATGAAGAAAAAAAGTGTAAAAAGTCACCACGTTATCATTTTAATGACAAACTGGGAAATGTTGGATAGCTTGGTCTGGGTATTGAGCTCTTTACATCACAGCACAACAAATAACTAACAATAATGACAAAACTAGGGTTGCTAAGGCGTGGAAAAGTTCTGGTAAATATCCGTAAACTTTCCAAAAATCCCTGGAATATTCCCCAAAAAAATCCTTTCTGGAGTATTTCCCAAATTTACTGGAAAATTTCCACCTTTTTGCAACCCTAGACAAAACCACAACAAAAAAGTTTCAATGAAGACCGCAAATATCAGCAATAATCCTATAACAGTAACTGCATAATTTATTTATGCTGCCTGCAATGCATGCTGGGAACTCTCACAAAGCCTTAACATTTCAGCAATATTAAATTCTTTGTTCAGACAACTTGATTAGTAGGTACAACATTTGGGGTAATTCAAATGGTTTTTATGAAGTTTCAAGAAAATACTCAAAAGGTTTCGTAAATTGGAAAATATGCAGTTGCATTTTTTGTACAGTGTAGGGTAACACTTTATTTTAAGGACCAATTCTCGCTATTAATTAGTT